ATACTGGGGATCAAACTCCTGTCCCTGTGCCTGCCTAAGCAGTTCTCTTCCATTTTGAATGCTGTTTCCTCCATCATAGGCTCCACCAGTGATTTGATTTCCCATAGTGTCCAAGCTGTTCTATTTATTTCTCTGCTGTTACCTTACAGGAGTTTATTTTCATCCTCTTCTGCCTGCTTCTTTTCAGCTTGTTTTCAGTCTATGGCCCCTGCCTGCTGCTTAGAAGTTATGTATCATTTTGTGGATGATGAGCAGATATTTCTAAAACCTCCATTTTCTGAAGAAAATTATACTTTTCCTCAGAACATGATGTGGCTTCCTTGATGTAGCAGCACCTTTACAAGCCCCATGGTCCGTGGCTGTCACATAGCAGGCCCCTGGGGTCCACGGCCCTCCTGCTGCCTGGGTGGTAACTGGTCCTTGGCCCAGACCTGAGGGTCCCAGAGTCTCCACCCAAATTGGGCAAAGGCTGCCTCCTCCTTTCTTAGGTCTGTGACGTGGCAAAGCAGTGAGCTGCAATTCTGAGCTTTGATCCAGTCTCCCCGGAGTACCACAGTTCCACATTTCTCCCATTTGTGGGAATGACTGTGCATTCAAACACACCAAACAGTCCTGGCCCTGCCATTCTACTTTCGGGCATGGTGCATAGTGAAAGGGAAGGCCGGCATCTCTCAACATGTAGGTAAAACAAGGAGACTGGTTGAGTTAGGGGCCAAAGGATGGTTTTAGTTATAGTGGAACCTGGTCAGGGCAGCTGTGAAGCTGGGTGTAGCACAAGGACCCAAGTCACTCCAGCTGTTGGTGACTTTGGCGTGCCAACTCCTAGGCTCCAGTGGAACACATTCTTTCCAGCTTAGGCAGTTAAGTCTGTGGCGTACAGTCCAAAAATGTTCTTCCCAATTGTTCCATTATCAATGTGCTTTGACAACAAGGTATTTAAAAAAATTTCACCCAATTTTTTTGGTGGACATTTACTACAAGCGTAATAAGACTAGCAGATACCACCAATCTGCCGCAGTATTTTCAATTTACTGATTCCTTATGTCTGGTTATAAAATTATGAAGGGAAGGAAGGCATCGTTACTGCCCTTTTATGATGAGCAAAGTGAGGCTTGGAGAAGTAAAAGAACTTGCCCAGGGTGACCTGTTTAAAATGAGAGGGGACGGCCCATGTACATGGGCCCTGCTCCTTTCCTTTGTACTGTGATGCTCCATTGTTCTTCTTTGATCACCTTATAACTAATTGAACTCACAACCTTGCCAGTCAGGCTGCTGAGTGATTGCCCCAGCCCACATGTCAGTATTATATTTAAGGCTAAAACTTAAATATCTGATTCAGCACATGGTACGCCTTGGAAATTCTGGCTGCATTGCAAGTATATGTGTCTCACTAGTAAGCAATTAGTGAATTCATTTGCTGTGCACACTCAGTCACCTGGTTAGCTTGATAATAAAACTTGAGAGTTCTTAGTTTAAATTCTGAATTTTTTTTTCCTTTTCTCACATACTACATTTCAG